CACACAAGCTAATAACAGTAAATTACTTTGCAGAAGTGACATTTTATTAATAATGTCCTGATTTTTTCTACCCATACTTCAGTCAAAAGCAACCAACCTGTTAAACAGGCTTCAATGAAATTAACATATAATACATGTACCGTACTCAACTGTGTTAGCGCTCATGCTCGGTCGGCTAAGTGTCCATCGCCCACTTTTGGGGCATTTCTATTTTTGGGTTCATGTTCAGCTAACACCCATCCCCTTCAAAATCACCCTAATTTGACTGTTTAATTATTGTTTAACTTTTCCAAATTATGGTAATCGTTTTTATTTGATACAGCCTAGATATCGAACCAAAGGTCCAGTAGGGACTGGTCCAAATTATGGTAATCGTTTTTATTTGATACAGCCTAGATATCGAACCAAAGGTCCAGTAGGGACTGGTCCAAATTATGATAATCGTTTTTATTTGATACAGCCTAGATATCGAACCAAAGGTCCAGTAGGGACTGGTCCAAATTATGGTAATCGTTTTTATTTGATACAGCCTAGATATCGAACCAAAGGTCCAGTAGGGACTGGTCCAAATTATGGTAATCGTTTTTATTTGATACAGCCTAGATATCGAACCAAAGGTCCAGTAGGGACTGGTCCAAATTATGGTAATCGTTTTTATTTGATACAGCCTAGATATCGAACCAAAGGTCCAGTAGGGACTGGTCCAAATTATGGTAATCGTTTTTATTTGATACAGCCTAGATATCGAACCAAAGGTCCAGTAGGGACTGGTCCAAATTATGGTAATCGTTTTTATTTGATACAGCCTAGATATCGAACCAAAGGTCCAGTAGGGACTGGTCCAAATTATGGTAATCGTTTTTATTTGATACAGCCTAGATATCGAACCAAAGGTCCAGTAGGGACTGGTCCAAATTATGGTAATCGTTTTTATTTGATACAGCCTAGATATCGAACCAAAGGTCCAGTAGGGACTGGTCCAAATTATGGTAATCGTTTCTATTTGATACAGCCTAGATATCGAACCAAAGGTCCAGTAGGGACTGGTCCAAATTATGGTAATCGTTTTTATTTGATACAGCCTAGATATCGAACCAAAGGTCCAGTAGGGACTGGTCCAAATTATGGTAATCGTTTTTATTTGATACAGCCTAGATATCGAACCAAAGGTCCAGTAGGGACTGGT